AAGGCGCCATGGGGCAGTTGCTGGGGAGGGGTAGCGGGGGGGGGGGTATGTGCAGTTCCCAAGGCGCCATGGGGCTGTTTCCCAGAAGAAGGGAATTCCCACACTCCCTGGGGATAGCTGGGTCCCCCCCACAGGGAACTGAGCCCCCTTGCCCAGTGCTGAGCAGTAGGTTCCCAAGGTGCCATGGGGCTGTTTCCCAGAAGAAGGGAATTCCCACACTCCCTGGGGATAGCTGGGTCCCCCCCACAGGGAACTGAGCCCCCTTGCCCAGTGCTGAGCAGTAGGGGTGGGGTTGTACTGCACATGCGGACCTTGCCCATCCAGCAACCTCAACAAATGGGGCAGGGGAAGAGCCAGGGGCAAACCAAGCTCCTGAGCAGTGGCAGGGCAGGTGGGGGCCCAGCCCTGCTGCCTGTGCCATGGCCCGATGAGCAGAGTCTTACCCCCGCATGCACTGGGAGTCAGGGCGTGAATGGAGCGCGCTGGTGGACTGCAGTGCCCAGACAAAGCACATGAACCAGTCTGGAGAAGCAGAGGGAGCCGGGAGCCTGGCTTCCATTCTCCGCCCCCCACCCCCCAACCATAGAGCACCCATGGGGAGGCCTGAGTCCCTCAGACGTGAAGGGCCCTGGCACTTACATGCATCGGCAGGGGAGGGGTTGCAGGGAGGGCTACCCAGAGGAACAGGGAGGGGCATGAGGGAGAACCCCATTTAGCAATTAACATGTTGATCTGGGGGGGGAGCTGCACCATCCCCCACATGCTATCAGGCATCACCTGCGTTTGCATGGATTTCTCCCCCTTCCCCCTGCTGCTCTTGGGCTAGACCCCAAGCAGTCAACCCCTGCAGCTCCCTGCGTGACCCCTGCGGCAGCTTGCCAGCTGCACCCACAGCATGCTTTCCCCACACCAGGAACTGGTTGCCAGGCCTGCTCCATTCATTGTTCCTTTGTGCAGCACTGAATGGCTTCTTAGCTAACGGGACATTTAGAGCTGTAGGCCCTGCCAGGCAGCATGGCGCAGTGTGGGGAAAGGGCTCTTCCCCTCCTCAGTTCAGCTTCTGCCGCTGGAGGCCTTAGTGAGGAGCTAGCAATCAGCCAGGAGGGCATCACATGCAGCATGGGGGCTCTCCTTCTTCTAGAACAGCAGCCCCTGACCTCTAGCAGCTCCTAGACTCTAAGCTGAAAAGGCGTCTCTCTGGCTGCCGTGCTAGGGCCTGTGGTGGCATCTGGGAGGGTCTATACTTTGCACTGCACAGCAGACATACCCAATAGCAGGGCTAGGTTTCAAGGACCGTGGGATGAGTAGCAGCACGGGGTAGCTGCTTGCAGCAGCCCAATTTAGGGTGTCTAGGCACTGTGGTAGATGGGACCCCAGCTACTCAGAGGTTCCTGTTCCTAAGACTGATCCAGTCAGCTGACTGCAGTAGGGGCAGGATAGGGAAGTGAGTTTCCCTGCACCTCACACACTAATCACCTCAGCTGCTGGCAGGTTGAGCAGCCACTCCACTGCGCAGAAGGCCAAGAGCTGGGACAGCACCAAAGGGGGGAAGCCATTAAAAACCCCACAGAGCATTTGTTTGTTTCCACAGTTGCTTTTAGGCTCACTGCGGTAAGTGTGGTCACAGGCAAGTGCTGTCCTGACAGCCTCTCTGCCATGGGAACAATCAGTAGCCCCATGCAGCTACAAGCAGGGCAGAGCATGGCCCAAGGGAGCCAGCACAACCCTAAGATTTCAACTCAGGTTTTCCAGCAAGCTGTCAAGGGAGGAAGCCCCTGCCAAGGGTTGATGAAGGGGCAGGGGGGAGTGGGAAGGAATCTCAGTCTGAGTGAAACAAGTTTTCAACAAGGCCCTTCTTGGAGATCTGTGCTCAGGGAAGGCTCCTCTAATGAGCCTTCTCCCCTCACAGGACAGCCCAGCCAAGCCCTTACCAGTCCTGAAAGTTGTGTGGCTATTTGCTGGCCAGAGTGACAAAGATGAGTCCCAGCGCGGTGGCCCAACAGGTTGCATAAGTCCATCTCTGCAGCATGCACACTGCACCACCTGACAGCTGGAGAGTTCCCTTCTCCCCTAGGCTCCAGTGGAACTTCCACCCCACCCCTCCCCTGCTTGGCCCTGGCAACTCACGCTGCCCCAAGAGTTGAGGTCCCCAGGAGACAGAACCCTCAGGCTACTGCCTCTGCAGGAGGCTCCCACCCTCAGGAGGGATCAGACAGATCTGAAGACAAGGAACTGAGGATCTAGGACACTTAAGAGCAGCAACTGCCTCTAAGGCCAAACTAGGTCAGCCCAGCATGTGCCATTAGCGGCCCTAAGGCTCCTGCAGGGTGGGTGGGTGCTAGCTCTGGCACAGCAGGCAGTGGTGGGAAGGCAACAGGCCCCGCTCCACCAGGTATTCCACTTCCTCTCCTGGATGAGCAGTTGCCTCCCCTGTGTTAAGCCCGAAGGAATGGGACTGGGGAGCCAGGCTGCTCTGAACAGGGGCAGGGGCTGTTCAGTCACGTGCTCTCAGACAGTTGCTATGAATGGGCCCTAGCAGGCAGGAGAGAACCCCAAGACTGAGCTCCAGCCAGGCAGGGGGAGAGTCTAGTACCTTCTTGGGCAGGTATCCTGTTAGTGAGCCTCCCCCCCCCATGAGTGCTCTGGGGTGAGGAGAGCAGCACAGGGTGCCAAAACTTTAATAAATAAACACACAGGAGGAAGTTGGGCCGGGGGCGCATCACAGCTACAGAGCATCTCCCGAGTCTCTAGCGCCCTCCCTCAGCTTCAGCCCAAAGTACTGCAGCAGGTTCTGGAGCTCCCGGGAGCCGGCTGTCACCGCAGCAGGGATGGAAGAAAGAGCCTGGGAAAGGAGGAGGAAGAGTTAGGAGCCAAGCCGGAGGTGGGAGTATGGCTCTAGCAGCTGGGAATAGGACAGGCAGAGCAAGGGTTTCCACCAGTAGCCCTGAGCCTGAGGCCCAAGCAGCTGTGTGAAGGGCTCTGGCCTGCCAGTTAGGGGCAGTGCCTAGGCCTTGGCAGGACCTTGAGCCTTCCTGAGAGGAAGCAGCAGGGGGGGAGAGAAGTGATTATTTCAATGACAGCAGACAAGTCACTTAACTGCCCTCAGCATGGGGCAGCAGGTGGGGGGACCCTCAGGGACAGCAGCCAGATGGGATGGAGGGACCTTTCCTGGGTCCCCATCCCATCGTGCCTCTGGGCCCCAGCCCTAAGAGCAGTCACATTGCTGTTCTCGTGGCCACAGTCCGTGTCCTTCCCAGACCCCTGCAGCTAGAACAGGCCCTGCTGGAGGCTGCCTCCCCTGCAATGGTTTCAGGTGGGAAAGGGCCAAGCCACGCCCCAGGTGCACTGCTCTTTCCAGGGCTCTGGGCCGTAGTGGGGCCAGGCTGAGCTGTGTGTCAGGTGCTCTGTCAGCAATACACATCTGTAGGGAGAGCCCACTTCCCCCAGCAGCCTCACCTCTTTGATCTTCTCTTGCATTGCCTCATGGCTCCTCAGCAGTGTCTGTGTCTGGTGGAGTTTCCCCTCCTGGATTCTCCTCTGCAAAGGAAAGCACAGAGCTGTGCAGATGGAGGGGAGGAGGGAAGCAGGCAATCCCCAGAGCTGGCATTTTCACTGCTTAGCCCCCAGGCAGGGAGGGGGAGCAGCCACTCCCCAGCCCCATGCCTTACTTGCTCTTGGTTGTCTCTCTGCGTCTCCAGGAGCAGCTCCCTCAGCTTGTTCACCTGCAAGACAGGACAAGGATCGGCGTCCAGGCAGGGTGCAGCTGGATACCCTGGAGCCTGACTCAGGCAAGAGGGGAACAGACCCCACCAGCTCTGAAAGAGCTGCCCTCTCTCATTCCCAGCATGGCGGCTCTTCCAGGCCTAGCCATGCACAGCACTCACCCCCCACCACGTAACCCACTACCGAGTCACCAGCAGGGCTGTGGCTTCTCTTTGGACCCTCTGCCATTCTGGGAAAAGAGCCAAGATATCAATGGATCCAGCGCAGAGAGCTAGAACAAAGCTGTTGAGGGAAGGAGAGGGTGTTTTCGGGGGCAAGGGGCGGCTTTATGAGCCGGGGCGGGGAGGGGGGAAGGAGCCACATGCAGGTCGCGAGCCACAGGTTGGCCACAGCTGGGCTAGGTGACCCTGAGTGCAGTGCACGGGGCCCTACTAGAAAGGAGCCACAACGTAGCAAGAACAGCTCCTCTCCTGGCAGCCCAGGGACACCCCTAACCCTAACCCCCAGCCATGAGTGACCCCCCCAGTCATCCAGTCCCTCCCTCCTGTTCCCATCCGGGCACTGCTGGCTTCACCTCCTGCCGTAGCAAGACTTTCTCCTGGACAGCCTCAGCATCCAGCGTCGTCACGCTAGGCTCCCGTCCCCTCACCTCCTCCCACAGCACACGAGCCTCTGTCTCCACCCGCCGGAGCAGGTGCTGCAGGTGAGAGACCTCGGCCTTCAAATGCTAAAGGGAGAGAAGCCAGTGAGACGCTGGGAAGTGGGGCAAAGGACTCTGTCCCCGGCGTGAGGACCCCCCGGGCTGCTCCTTGGTGTGCTGCCAGTATAGGACAGTACAGTGGGCAGCAGGGCCGAGGTGATTCAGGATCTAACCCCACCCAGCCCACAGAGGTGGGTACCGTGACTTCCCCGCTCCGGTCAATGAGCTGCAACATCTGCTTCTCTTGTTGCCGCATGATGTCCTGCAGCTCCTTCTCTGCCTGAGGAGAGAGAGAGGGCACTGTGTTAGGACAGGCTCTCCCAGAGAGGCACCTACCTTGGAGCAGAGCTACAGAAACGCTGCTCTCCCAGGAAAGAAATGGGCACAGGTGTCTGGGCCCAGGAGGGTTTGTCCATTGCAATCAGCGAGACAGACACTGCTCACAGACACTCAGTGCATCATGGACAGAGCGGAGAGGCAGTGGGCTGGGCACAAGCCTAGTTCCCCAGCAGCTTCAGGCAGGTGAGTCCTAGCACCATTCCCTACTGCCAGGCCATCAGACTGCATGCAGTGATGGGGCCCCGACCTCCCCAGACAGTGAGGGGTAGGACCCTGGCCTGCGCCGATGGATCTGCCCAGCTAGAGGGGGGCAGTCCTGCACCAGGCTCCCCCCGCTCTGCAAAGTCCTGGCCCAGGACACAGGAGAGGCTCAGTCTAGAGCACTGGGGAGCCTCACAAGTGCCGCATTCAGTCAGGTGAGCAAGCAGCTGCAAGATGTGGAAAAAAACAGTTACCTAGATTCTCCTGTGTCCTAGAATCAGAGCCTGCCTGCTCCTTGGCCCAGACCAGCTCTGCTCTGGAGCTCTTGCCTAACCCACTTCTGGAGCCTGCTCACCTGAAAGCTGACTTGCAATGTCTTGTTCAGCTTGGCAATGTTTGCATCGCGAGCATCAATCTCGGCCTGGAGCCTGGACTCCAGGCTCTCCAGCTGGTGCTGGTGCTCAGAGCTAGGAGGGAAAAAGCCAGACAGTGTCTTCATAGGGCACAGAGCGGATCCAATAAGGGCTGCACAGCCGCGCTCTCAGGGGAAGCCACACACTGCTCTCAGCCTCACCAGGGCGACACACCTCTGAGTCTGAGACACTGGGCTCTGTCACACTCCCACTAGTACCCAGTTTCAGGACCATCCATGGAGAGAGAGTGATGCATCGCCCATCAAAGGCATGGCAAGGAGCCCATCCAGTGCTGCCGAGGGGTATCAGCTGGGCTGGGACTGGACCCTACGTGCATGGAATCAGCACCAGGGGTAATGGTGTGTGCTGGCTGGAGGCTGACAGGGTGGGCTCCAGGGGACACAGTGGCAGGAGTGGGCAGTGGGGAGTGACAGACCAGCAAGGAGCAGGCTGCTGGGTACTCCCATCATGTCTCCTTTGACTCCAAGCCAGATGCAGAACTCACATTTGGGCCTGCAGCTCCTGAACCTCATTGTGATTCGCCTTCTGGCTCTGGGAGCTCACAGTGACGAGTTGAGACACAGCAGCTCGCAGCTCCAAGGCAGTCTCCCACAGGCTCTCTTCGATCTCTGGGGCAGGGATGTGAAAGGGTAACTGGTAAGTATCACCCTTAATAGGGGAGACTGACCGGTTCAGGGTAACTGGTGCAGACTAGAACAGCTCCCCACCTGCTGTGGGCTGCTCCAGTCATCTCGATTCTGTGCCTGGAACAGTGAGTAGCTTTAGCCTGCCTGCATAGCTAAGACCCCCACTCCTTTGCCTCTTGGTGCGGAGCAGTTACAAGAGGAAACCAGCTGTTGAGTCACACCTGGAGGAAAGGCACAGGCCTGGCTCCCTGGGAAAACCTCATGCCCTCAGGAGTTTGCACTACCCTGCTCCAGGACATGTTCTCTCATCAGACCAGGGCCCCTTTACACTGGGGCCCAGCCAGGGCAGATTTACTGACAAGGGAGCAAGTGGCTAGGCCTGGAAGAGAGGGCAGACCCGGTTACCTGCTGATATCTCAGCACTTGTGCACCAGCCTCCAGCAGCTTCTTCATCAGTGCCTGTAACAAAGCAGATCAGAGGGGACTGGCACTGGTTACCCATCCATAGCCCTGAACCACTCCTAGGCCACGGTGCCTGCACAAACCCAGGAACTTCCCTTCTCTGCCAGTCCCTGGGCTCAGGCCCCGCGAGAAGAAACTGGTGCTGAGGCCTCGTTCAAAGCCCTTTCACCATGCCCGGACTAGGCCATCTCATGGCAGCTATGACCCTTGCAGCGGAAGGAGCCACCCCCATGAGCAGGCATCATGGGAAGCAGACTTAATGCAGATGAAGCCCTGGGCATTGAGGGGCCCAGTGGCACTAGAACCACTTCTGGGGTGGGGGTGCTAGGCTGCACCCTTTTTAGACCTATTGAGATTGGGTTGCTAACTCTCCTGGACTGGACTCCCTTGCTGCCTGCCACAGGAAGGGTGAGCAGAGCAGAGGATGATGGGAGCTGGAGAGTGCTTTCCCAGACATGGGAACAGCCTCCACCTCCATTGAGGGGAGATGTTGCTTCAGTGGCACCATGTTCTTTTGACTCCTGAGCATGCAGCAGAGCAAAGCATTATGGGAAGGGGTGTGCCACTGACCCCAGTGGCTGCATCTCCAATACCAAGGGCTGCAGAGCAGAGGGAGGGCCCCGCACTACATGGGGGGTGGCAGGTGTACAGACCACTTCATGCCCCTTGTCTGTGAAGCAGTAACCCAGCAGCCGCCACGTAGGCAGTGTTTCTGGAGCTGCAAGTCCGGGCAGGAGGAGACAATAAGCAATTTCTGACAGCCTCATCCTACCTTTTCCTTCCACAGCTTTCAAGACGCTGCCCACGAAGGAGCCAGGCATGCTGTGAGGGGTACGTGCTATGCTCCTTGAAGTAGCAGCAGCAGCAGCCTTCAATGATAAGAGAGGGTCAGAAGGACTGTACCTCACTGATGCCAAGGCAGCAAACAGATTGCTCTGCTTCTCCAGGGCAGTCTGTGAGCGACAGCTGTGGGGTCTGCGCTCCTACCTCTCCTTGCAAGGCAGCCTGGAGAACATCCGTGAGGTCCAGCAGCCTCCCCTTGGTCTGAGCAAGCTCCAGGGCGGACTTCAGGAGTTTGTCCCTGTTGAGCTGCAGGCCCAGGGCTTCTACCTTGCTGCAGTCCAGCGCCTCACAGAGGGTGTCCCGCTCTTTCCTGGGAAGCACGGGGGAATCAGAGCTCACTCAGGGCTCACCCACACCTCATCCAGAGAGACGGGAGCTACGTCAGGGCAGCTGCGTGGCCTGGCAGTGATTGAGCTCCTGGACTCGGTGGCCAGAGCAGAGGGGGATACTTGGAGGTGGCATGTGAATAAGCAGAGGATGAGACCAGCTGTGCCCAGCCAGAGCACCCAAGGGCTTCCCAGAGGAACTGGTGCACTCAGGCATGTACCAGGGTGCACTAGTGGGCTCATTCTCTGGAACTCTTTGCCTCCCAGACCTGGGGAAGGTTGGAAGGGGACCCTGCCCAACAGGGGCTGAACAGAAATAAGCCCCTCTCCCTTCCCGCAGACACAGGCTTTCAGCACACCAGGCCAGACACAGCAGCAAGCTGGGTGGGAAGGCCCACAAAGGGCTCGGAGCGGCATAGAGCAACTGCTGACTCACTGGAGGTGCTGGTAAGCATCCTTTTGATCCTCAAACTGCATGCTGCGCTCCCGCAGGACTGCCAGGGTGGCTTTCAGCTCCCTTTCCGTCTCTGTCAGCTGCTCCCGGCACACCCGGTTCTCCTGGTCAATGAACTGGGGTGGAGGGAAGAGACAGCCCATGAGCATTCACTAGTAAGGACAGGGAGCTGGTACAGCATGGGATCCTCAGTGCATGCAGATCAGGAAGGGCTAAGGAGGGCCACATTCATACCAGAAGCTGGGGAAAAGTCGCTCAATTCCCACTCTACCTTCCTGCAGGTGCCCAAGCTGAGGCTCTGGCCCTGCATATCAGGGAATCTTTCCTCTAACAGGTCTCATAGCCAAGCAAAACAGATCTGTAGCCTTTCCCCTTCTCACCTGAGTGCTGACCACAGCGATCAGAATACTGAGCCTGGGGTCAGTAATATGCAACTGCTCTCCATGGCATTTATAACCTTGTTCAGCCCTCGCAGCTTGGGAAACGCCGTCCTACTCTGCACTCAACCGGTTCTTCCAGGACTTCAGCCACAGCTTTTGCAAGAACTGCCAGAGTAGGACTCCCCTTGGGATTGCAGCCTCCCCAGGACACAAGAGCATCAGTCTCTAATGAAGCCTTTAGGGTATTGGATGCCAGAAGGAGCAGTAGAAGGGCAGGGTGGCAGTCAGAGGGATGGGCTTTCACAGCACGTCAATGGGGAGGAGGCAGTTTTGTGGAGAGATTTAGCCTCCAAGTGGCCCCTTGGCTGACAGGTTTTATGGCACCAGCACAGGTAGGACACTACTTATAACAAGTCCTGGGCTAGTAGGATTTGCATCCACACAGTTAGGGTGCCCAGCTCTCTCTCTGTCCCTCTGTGCAGCTTTATGGGGCAGGAGGTTTTTGGAAGGACATTAGAGTGAGGCCTGGCAGCTCCAGTTCTGGGCTAACATGCAGGGAGGAGGTGGCGATGTTAACTTGTCCTAGGCTAGGGGTTACCATCATGGTCTGTGCAGTGGGATGGAGCATGCACCCCCAGCACAGCGAGTGTCCTGTGCCCACAGCAGAAGGGTTAGCCCAGCCCCCAGGACTCTACCTCGCGGCACTCCGTCATCTCACGCAGCTCCTGTCGCACCCTGTCATGCTTCTGCCGGAGGAGTGCCTGCTCCCTGGCCAGCCTGAGGTGGGAAGGAAGCTGTTGGAGTGCAGTTCAAATGCCAGCTGCAGGCTCTGGGCCTGGGTAGGGCAGCTGGCAGGATCTGCCCAGGAGATTCAAGCAGGCCAGAAGTGACTTTCAAGGGAAGGGAAACAGAACCGGAGTTGTCAGAGTCCCCTTAGGGCATCACATGTGATTCAGTCCCTGGCCTGCACAGCTCCCCTACAACGCTCGGGGTGGGAGACTCACTGCGCCATCTCTTCCGCCAGGGCTGCATGGTTCTCTTGCAGCTCATCCCGCTCGCACTGCAGGCTGGCCAGGTCTCTCAACAGCGTGCTGAGCTCTAGGGCACAGGGCACAGCAGGGTAAGCTGCACAGCTGGCATCCCCAGATCCCTCTGTGCTAAACTGACAAGGTAGAGCAGCCCTGCCTGCCCATCCCCAGAGCAGCCTTGATCCTGATGTGCAGGACATCAGACTTACCCAGCAGGGGGAGCTGTCAGCAGGGGGCCCTCCAAGAGCTCTGCAGGACACTGACATCCCAGCAGAACAGGCAGCTACTTCTACAGGAGGTGCCCTCCAGCCAACTCAAGAGGCTCAGCTCTGTCCTCGGCATAGCAAGAGATGGCCTGGGCTTTGTGTGCCCTGCACGAGTGTCTCCATCTCTCAGATGCTGCCCCCTCTAGGCAGGGTCCCGCTAAGATTTTCCATCCACGAGCAGAGTGAGTTTTGTCTTGTGCACCCATATCAAGGCCATGGGTGCTTGTTCGGACTGCACGTGTGCCACTGTGGCACCCAAGTTATAAACTTCTCCCTTTCCCCTCTGCTGCCATGTCTCCCACCTGCTCCTCATCTGCTCCCCTGATGCCTGCTACTGCTGCCCACCCTCCTCTGCTGTCCTGGCTCCTGCCCATCTCACTCCCCTCAGCCCTCCTGGGACTTGCCCCTACCCCATCCTTTCTAATCCTGCACCAGCCCTTCCCTTCCCCCTGTGCCCACCTCCTCTAAACCCCCTTCCTATCCCCTTTCTTAACACCTCCCTCTACCCACCTGCCCTGCCTCTCTCCTCTGCTCTCTGGTGCCCATCCCTCCCCTCCACATGTCTGCTCTTCTGCTTCACCCCCACATTCTTCCTGGCACCTGAACCTTCCCGCGGTCTCCCTCATCCCTCACTGCTCCTGCCTTCCCAACACCTGCCCCCCTTGCCCTCTTCCTCTCTGGTGTCCACCCCCTCACCACCTTCTGCCCCCATTCGCCTCATGCCCCTTTGCGCGCTCACACATCTTACGGGAAACTCTGCCTCTAGGGCCTCTGCACAGCCATACCTGCTCCCAGCCTGGAGTTTGCCACAGTCAGCTGATCCACCTGGGCCAAAGAGTCCTGCAGCTCAGCTGTCACTTCCTTCAGCTTGCCAGAAATCAGCTCCAGCTCTGTGCTCGCCTGCAACAGAGCACGGTATGATAGGGCATTCCAGACTCGTTTTTGGCGTATGAAAGAACTCAAACGTGAAATTGCAGAATTGTTAACTGTGGTTTGTAACCTATCCTTCAAATAAGCTTCCGTACCTAATGACTGGAAGATAGCTAATGTGACGCCAATATTTAAAAAGCACTCTAGAGGTGATCCTGGCAACTACAGGCTGGTAAGTCTAATGTCAGTACTGGCAAATTAGTTGAAAACTATAGTAAAGAATAAAATTGTCAGACACATAAATGAACATAATTTGTTGGGGGAAAGTCAACATGGTTTCTGTAAAGGGAAATCATGCCTTACTACTAATCTACTAGAATTCTTTAAGGGGAGGGGGGGGGGGTCAAACAAACATGTGGACAAGGGGGAATCAGTGTACTTAGATTTGCAGAAAGCCTTTGACAAAGTCCTTCACCAAAGGCTCTTAAATAAAGTAAGTTGTCATGAAAGGAGAGGGAAAGTCCTCTTATGGATTGATAATTGGCTAAAAACAGGGAATAACGGGTAGGAATAAATGGTAAGTTTTCTGAATGGAGAGAGGTAACTAGTGGTGTCCCCTAAGGGTCTTACCTGGGACCAATCCTATTCAATTTATTTATAAATGGAGAAAGGAGTATAAAGTGAGATGGGAAAATGTGCAGATGATACCACACTGCTCAAGATAGTTAAGACCAAAGCAGACTACGGATGTGAACGACTAGTTGTCTAGTCGCTTCCCTCCCACCTTGCTGCCTCGATCAGAAAGAGGCAGCAGAAGGGGAGAAAGACAAGGGCACTTCAAAGTGGCAACGCTACGTGGAGCCTGGAACCAGAGCCCGGAGTCAATGTGGTGCTGCTGCTTTGAAACACTGCCTGGAAGCTGGGGCCAACTGGGGTGTCCCCAGGCTGCACGTGACGTTTCAAAGTGGCAGCGCCGAGTGGAGCCCGGGATCACCTGGGGACTAGTCGATTAGTCAGTTACTCAAAATTTAATATCCCTAAAGCAGACTGCCAAGAGCGTAAAAAAAGATCTCACCAAACTAAGTGATCGGGCAACACAATGGCAAAGGAAATTTAACGCTGCTAAATGTAAAGTAATGCTCATTGGAAAAATAATCCCAACTATGCACATGATATGATGGGGGCTAATTTAGCTACAACCACTCAAGAGAAATCTTGGAGTCATTGAGGATAGTTCTCTGAAAATATCCACTCACTGTGCAGCAGCAGTGAAAAAAGCAAATGATGTTGGGAATCATTAAAAAAGGGAGAGAGAATAAGATGGAGAATATCTTATTGCCCTTATATAAAACCATGGGACGCCCACATCTGGAATACTGTGTGCAGATGTGGTCGCCTCATCTCAAAAAAGAGATACTGGCAATGGAAAAGGTTCAGAAAAGGGACCCGTTCCAAATGATTAGGGTTTGGAATGGGTCCCATATGAAGAGATTAAAAATAATTGGACTGTTTATCTTAGAAAAGAGGAGACTGGGGGGAGGGGGGGCTATGATAGAGGTCTATAAAATCGTGACTGGTGTGAAAAAAGTGAATAAGGAAAAGTTATTTACTTTTTCCTCATGATATAAGAACTAGGGGTCAACAAATGAAATTACTAGGCAGTAGGTTTAAAACAAACCAAAGGAAGTTTTTCTTCACTCAGTGCAGTCAACCTGTGGAACTCCTTGCCAAAGGATGTTGTGAAGACTAGGACTTTAGCAGGATTCAAAAAAACAGCCAGATAAATTCATGGAGGGTAGGTCCATCAATGGCTGTTACCCAGGATGGGTAGGAATGGTATCCCTAGACCCTGTCTGGAACTGGATGACAGGAGAGGGATCACGTGAGGATTACCTGTTGTGTTCACTCTCTCTGGGGCATCTGGCATTGGCCAGTGTCAGCAGATAGGATACAGGATTAGATGGACCTTTGGCCCGACCCAGTATGGCTGTTCTTATGACAATCACTGGAGCACCCTTTATGCAAGATAACCTATTGAATATACTTATCCCATTTATATGCATGTAGTATTTTTGTAGAGCCAGTTAGGAAGATTAACATGTGGACAGGTCACCTGTGGCTGGGATCCACCTTGAATGCTGTATTTTTCCACAAAAACAGAGGGAAAGTTTGGACTGAACATGAAGGATTCCTGCCTTTTGCAAAACCTATTTAAGTGTGGGGAGAGGTAATCCAGGTGTGCAGTTGTCCCTGGCTATTCCATCCAAGATGCCTCTTGGAAACAACTAAGACTGAACTGGAGGAAGGAACTGGGATAGGCTGGAAGGATGTCTGGTCTCTGAAAATGATTAATAGAACAACTTTAAGGGTGAGATATTACATGTAACTAGTTTTAGTGCCGTGATGTCCAACATACTAGCCACATGAGTTTGCTATAGCTGTAGCCATTATAGTGGCTACTGCTTCAGAACTGGTTGGATACCATGGTTTTAGTGTATTAAGCTTAGCTTGCGTGTTCTGCTTTATTTTGATCAGTAACCTACTTTGTTCTGTATACTCTCTCATGATCACTTAAATATATAGTAGATAAAAGGTAGGGTTTTAGAGTGTGTGTGTGTGTCTGTGTATCTGTTTAAGAACTCCTCCTAAACAGTAAAAACTAGGATCACCAATTTTGGTATGCAGCTTCCTCTAGTGAGATAAATAGAAAGGAACATAAACACTGTCAAATCAAGTGTAAAAATGTAATAAGAAAAGCAAAAAAAGATTCTGAGGAACAGCTAGCCAAAAACTCAAAAAGAAATAAAATGTTTTTTAAGTACATTAGAAGCAGGAAGCCGGCTAAAAAAACCTGTGGGTCCCCTAGATGATTGAGCTATAAAAGGAGCAATCAAGAACGATAATGCCATTGCGGAGAAACTAAATGATTTCTTTGCTTCAGTCTTCACGGCTGAGGACATTGGGGAGATTCCCAAATCTGCACCGTCCTTTGTGGGTGATGAATCTGAGGAACTGTCCCAGACTGAAGTGTCATTGGAGGAGGTTTTGGAACAAATAGAAAAATTTAATGTTAACAAATCTCCGGGACCGGATGGCATTCATCCAAGGGTTCTAAAAGAACTCAAATGGGAAATTGCTGAGCTATTATCTGTGGTTTGTAACCTATCCTTTAAATTGGCTTCTGTACCTGATGACTGGAAGGTAGCCAACGTGACACCAATATTTTAAAAGGGCTCTCGAGGCAATGCTGGCAATTACAGACCGGTAAGTCTAACTTCAGTACCGGGCAAATTAGTCAAAACAATAGTAAAGAATAAAATTGTGAAGCATGTAGAAGAACATAATTTGTTGGACAAAAGTCAACATGATTTCTGTAAAGGGAAATCCTGTCTTACTAATCTGTTAGAGTTCTTTGAAGAGGTTAACAAGCATGCGGATAAGGGGGATCCAGTAGATATAGTATACTTGGATTTTCAGAAAGCCTTTGACAAGGTCCCTCACCAAAAGCTCTTGTGTAAATTACATGGCCATGGGATAAGAGGGAAGGTCCTTTCTTGGATTGAGAACTGGCTAAAAGACAGGAAACAAAGGGTAGGAATAAATGGTAAATTTTCAGAATAGAGAGGGGTTGTCCCCCAAGGGTCAGTCCTGGGACCAATCCTTTTCAACTTATTCATAAATGATCTGGAGAAAGGGGTAAGCAGTGAGGTAGTAAAGTTTGCAGATGATACCAAACTGTTTAGGATAGTCAAGACAGAAGCAGACTGTGAGGGACTCCAAGAAGATCTCACCAAACTGAGTGATTGGGCAACAAAATGGCAAATGAAATTTAATGTGGATAAGTGTAAAGTAATGCACATCGGGAAAAATAACCCCAACTATACGTACAGTATGATGGGGGCTAATTTGGCTACGACAAATCAGGAAAGAGATCTTGGAGTTATCGTGGACAGTTCTCTGAAAACTTCCACACAGTGTGCAGCGGCGGTCAAAAAGGCAAATAGGATGCTAGGAATTATTAGGAAAGGGATAGAAAATAAGACCCAGAATATCTTACTGCCCCTGTATAAAACTATGGTACGCCCACATCTTGAATACTGTGTACAGATGTGGTCTCCTCACCTCAAAAAAGATATTTTGGCCTTGGAAAGGGTTCAGAAAAGGGCAACTAAAATGATTAGGGGTTTGGAACGGGTCCCATATGAGGAGAGGTTAAAGCGACTGGGACTTTTCAGTTTAGAAAAGAGGAGACTGAGGGGGGATATGATAGAGGTCTATAAAATCATGAGTGGTGTGGAGAGGGCTGATAAAGAAAAGTTATTTATTAGTTCCCATAATAGAAGAACTAGAGGACACCAAATGAAATTAATGGGTAGCAGGTTTAAAACTAATAAAAGAAAGTTCTTCTTCACACAGCGTGTAGTCAACCTGTGGAACTCCTTGCCAGAGGAGGCGGTGAAGGCTAGGACTATAATAGAGTTTAAAGAGAAGCTAGATAATTTCATGGAGGTTAGGTCCATAAAAGGCTATTAGCCAGGGGATAAAATGGTGTCCTTGGCCTCTGTTTGTCAGAGGCTGGAGAGGGATGGCAGGAGACAAATCGCTTGATCATTGTCGTCGTTCCACCCTCTTTGGGGCACCTGGTGCTGGCCACTGTCGGTAGACAGAATACTGGGCTAGATGGACCTTTGGTCTGACCCAGTACGGCCATTCTTATGTATGTTCTATTTCACATTGAAAGCATTTTTGCTGTTCTTTATATTACTCTGCTAAATCACAATTGAAAGCGATTAGACCCTCATAATGCACGGTTAAGTTCACATGTAGCCCACTGAGGTTGAGGAAGTTCCATATGAATTTAAGAGGGTTAGTCTTGCCAATCAGATTGCAGGACTGGGGCTACAGGGCCTTCCATTTCTGAGCTGTAAATATTATATGCTTCTGGGTGAAAATAATCAGAAGTGATTAGGCAGTTACTGGTGAAAGCATGAAATAAACTACGACAAATCAGGAAAGAGATCTTGGAGTTATTGTGGACAGTTGTCTGAAAACTTCCATACAGTGTGCAGCGGCGGTCAAAAAGGCAAATAGGATGCTAGGAATTATTAAGAAAAGGATAGAAAATAAGACCCAGAATATCTTACTGTCCCTGTATAAAACTATGGTATGCCCACATCTTGAATACTGTGTACAGATGTGGTCTCCTCACTTCAAAAAAGATATTTTGGCCTTGGAAAGGGGTCAGAAAAGGGCAACTAAAATGATTAGGGGTTTGGAACGGGTCCCATATGAGGAGAGGTTAAAGCGACTGGGACTTTTCAGTTTAGAAAAGAGGAGACTGAGGGGGGATATGATAGAGGTCTATAAAATCATGAGTGGTGTGGAGAGGGCAGATAAAGAAAAGTTATTTATTAGTTCCCTAAATAGAAGAACTAGAGGACATCAAATGAAATTAATGGGTAGCAGGTTTAAAACTAATAAAAGAAAGTTCTTCTTCACACAGTGTGTAGTCAACCTGTGGAACTCCTTGCCAGAGGAGGCTGTGAAGGCTAGGACTATAACAGAGTTTAAAGAGAAGCTAGATAATTTCATGGAGGTTAAGTCCATAAAAGGCTGTTAGCCTGGGGATAAAATGGTGTCCTTGGCCTCTGTTTGTCAGAGGCTGGAGAGGGATGGCAGGAGACAAATCGCTTCATCATTGTCTTTGGCCCACCCTCTCTGGGGTACCTGGTGCTGGCCGCTGTCGGCAGACAGGATACTGGGCTAGATGGACCTTTGGTCTGACCCAGTACGGCCATTCTTATGTTCTCTTATCCTAACTTAAATCAAGGTCAGAGTTTGGTTGTGCCAGGACAATGGGATGTGCCTGGAATATGACTGTTTCTCACCAAATGGAAAAACAGGGGTGTGGTAGCAGGGATAGTTATATCCCAGAATGACCACAAGCAGACAGAAAGCACCCTAGCCCTCAGGGAGCAGCTGCTGGCCAGTAGCATGGCCCTCACCACATCCCCTGCTCTGTTTCCTGCACTGCCCACTTGACTCCTGCCTCCTGCTCCCAAGCCGTGAGCCCCCACCACCTCCAGCTCCTGCCCTGACTCCTTCCTTAATGACCCGAACAATGCTGTGTCAATTTCCTAGTACTTTATAAAATTACTTGTGTTTAATAAGCCTAGTGTAAATAATTGTTTCCTGGGGGGAGGGAGAGAGCAAAGAGTCTGTGCACCTCTCTTTCCACTGAGAACACAGGCTTAGATTAATGAGTTTAGTCTGGTTGGAATTCCATACGGCGCAAGACAGATTGATTTGGAGTTCAGCTCCCAGAGAGGCTGGGTATCTGTGTGCTGGAGACAGGTATCTTGCTGGCCTGTTTTCAGTTAAGGCCTACAGCTCTGGGGGCAAGGCCCAGACCCTGGGTGTGTGCTGCAGCAGGCTAGTGTGTGACTCAAGAAGGGCAGTGGGGGCCCAGGCTGGAAGGGCAAACAGGTTTGGTGGGGTCTTGGCACAACAGGTGCTGAGGTCCCAACCTGTCACACATGGCACCTGGCTCATTGCTCAGTCCTGCCTCTTTGGGGTTCTCCCAAAGGGAGTCTGCTGGCCTCCATATCCCAAAGGAGGGGAAGTGCTCAGGATTTCTAACGTCCTCCCAAAGTCACAGGTGGAGGCAGGGCAGCAGTTCCCCACCAGACTGATGCTGGGAAAGGGGCCATATTCTGACCCAAGCCTGGGCAAAATACAGCATGCAGGCCACTTCTGGCCTTCCAAAACACTGGATCCAGCTTGTAGATGCAGCAGGGAACCCCAGGAAGGCTCCCTGCTTGCCTCGTCTCACCCCACCCCACCCCACCCACATGACACTCAGAAAAGCAGCTTCCATGCTGTTTCTCTTTCAAAACTGCAAGACCAGAGGAGGGGAGCAGGCTTCTGGCACTGCCCCCACCCCCAGCACAATCCCACTGGCCGGTTTCTGGCCAGAGAAACCGACCAATGGGAGCTGCCAGTTTGAATAACTAGCAGCCACGAAGAACCATGCCCCCTCACCTCTGTCTCAGTTATTCACACATGCACATGACCCTGCAGCCTGTGTGGGGGCAAAGCAGGCAGGCAGAGTGGCTGGGTGTGAAACATGCTGGGATGCTGGCCAGGAGTCACCCAGTTAAGTGCACCCCAATTCTTTCCTTCCCCAACCCTCTCCCCCCCGCATACCCAAACCTTCTGCCCCCCTCCTGCACTCATATTCCCTCCCAGATCTGGCATCCCAGTCTCCTGCCCCAGATCATAATCCCCTTCTGCCCTAGGTCACATCCCAAACCCCTGCACCCCAGTACCCTGCTTTAGGTCACAACCCAAACCCTGAACCCTAGTCCAGTGCCCCAAGTCACAATCACCTCCTTCACCAAAACTCCCTCCCAGATCCCACACTCCCTCCTGCACCCCAAGGTCCCTTCTGCACCCAACCTCCAACCTGCACCCAACCACCATCCCAGACCCTGCACTTCTTCCATGAATATCATGGAAGAGTGTAGCCCTTGACAATTTTCGAAAATCTTGGGAGTGGCCTCCCATCAAAAATTATTGCCCACATCTGTTCTGCCCTCTGGATGGCAAACATTTCCTGTGCCTCACTCATCGGCTTCTTGGCACATTTGGGTCTGCACCATACATCTGGGGGACAGGACTCCTGGCAGCAGTCACTGGCTGCTTAGCATGGCTCTGCACACACAGCCCCCCTGGAGGAAGGAGGTACTGAACTTGCTCTCAGCATTCACTGAACTCCAGCCACTGCCAAGTGCCCCAGGAAGCCTCGGCAGCCCCACTGCCAAGGGATGGTGCAGCCTCAGCACACGTTAACTGCAGGACCCACACGTGGGAGGTTCAGCTGGGCACGTGGCATGCATGGGTGCTGCTGAACTGCGAGAGGCCCCTCACTCCAGACACTGGCAGTACCTCCAGCAGTACAGAGCTAGCAGTGAGAATGGGGCTCAAGCCAGCCTGGGACTCAGAGCCCCAATCCCCAAGCTCACCAATCATGTGTGCTGCTCGCACTCCTACCCCACTCCAGGGGCAAGGCCCACTCTGGGCCCAGCACCACCACACCTCTGTCCTGCCCTTTGAAACAGTCTCCCACAGGGTTCTGAGTCTGTTACCACATCTTTAGCCTCGAGTGCCTCAGCAGCCCTGCTCCGCATCTCATCCCGCTCCGCCAGGCAGCTCTTCAGTTTGGTCGCCACTCTGTCCAGCATGCTCTGGTCCAGGGAGAGCAGGGCCCTCATTTGGTCTTGCTAAAAGAGGAGGAGGAGGAGAGCACACCCATGAGCACAGCCTGGAGTCCTTGAGGATTCCCAGTAGCTCCAGACATGACACAAGTCTGCTGCATGCTCCTCCAGAGGTGCAGCTCACCCAGCCCGGGCAGTGAACCCAGGGCACTGCCAGGCAGGTCCAGCCCTCTCCAGAATTGAAGACCCATTCTGAGGTCTGACAGATGCATACTACAACTCAGAGTCTCAGCCACAGAGCAAAGCAGAGCCCGCTGCAAACAGTGTGCCCTATATAAGTCTCACCTGTTGTTTTAGGGCCTGTCTGTCTTCCTGAAGATTCTTCAGGGAAACATTTGCAGAGTCTAAGAGTGACTGTGACTCCACACTCCAGGATTTCTGCAAGACAAGAAGCGCATTCATGCCACAGATCTGACTATGGGAACCCTATTGAAAAGCCCCCACTGCGGCTTAGGACCAGCCAAAAATCTCTGAGAGAGAGTGTGGATATCCCACACTGGGCTGGAAGGAGTTAATACTCTGTGGGTGGAGGAAGTTCCACCCTCCAGTCATACTGGGCATGCTCCAAGTGCTGGGTTAGCATAAAAGGGCTGGATGCTGGAGTAGAAAACCTGCAGTAGGAGCTCTAGAGGCAGACCAGCCACAGATTCTGGCAACAAGAGGCCCAGAAGACTGGACTGAACCTCCAGAGCTGATGGAACCTCCAGACAGTGACTTGCACTGTGGAGCCGAAGGAGGCCAAAGCTTCATGGATAGCCCTGATGCCAGAGATGGAAGGAAGTGACCCAGGGAGGGTTCACAAATGTTATGATTTCTCCCAGTGTACTCAGTGTGATTCCCTGCTAAGCTAGTGGTAGATCATTCAACCACTGCCAGGACCCTGAGTGAGGGCCCAGTAAAGTTGGGTGGGTTTGGGCCACCCCCACCAGGGCTAATCACCCCACCTCCTCCTGCTAGCAACCCCTCAGTACTAGCCACTAAGCCACACTATCCTGGGGTCATGGACTGACTTGGGTCACCAGCAAACAGAAAGTAGTAATAGCTGTGTCCATACACCCCAGTGACAACCCTCCACACATATACACACACACACACCCTTCCCAGAGGGGATATGCATACACTGACAGAGTCCTGGACCCACTAGAGATCTGGTGGTGTAACTAAATTGCTGCCAGTGGTAGCAAAGGAACATGTATAAGTGACAACCTTTGTTAGGCATCCTCCTGCCTGTGGAGACAGGCCAAAGTATCTGAAAATGCAGATAAGCAGACAAGCCATGTCCCTAGAGTGACCATTTGCAGAGGACATTGGATTGATTCCCCCAAGCAGGGGCCAGCTTGTCACAACATCTGGGATGGGGAAGAGAACATTCCACTTGTGAACCACCATTGCCTCCTTTAAGTGCAGGACTTGTTAAAGAGGAGTCAGGAGCTCTCAAGAGATGGCCTTGCACATTCAATCAGCTCCAGCTGGGTCCCTGGAAGCCACACCTGGACAGTCAGCCTTGGCCTTAAGGGTCCTCTACCCTCCCTGTACACAAGCCCCTCCAGGACCTACCACTACCTCCCTGGCCTCTTCCAGCTCCTGTTGCAGAGCCTGCTCATCCTCCCGGTTCCGCTGCAAGGCCATGAGTCTCTCTCTGGCTGCCAGGTACAAATCATGATAAAGCTGCTCCTCCTGGAAGACAGTCCATCCCCAAGCCATCACTCCCAGAATGAGGAGAATTGCCTCTCCCAGGAAGAGGTGGACTAGGCTTGAGCCAACTCTTCTCAGCAGAGCCAGCCAGGCAAAGCATGTCTTCTTATTCCTCCAGGGACATGGGTACCAGGCTGAGCCTGAGAAGGGCAGCATCTCTGCCCAGGAGGGCTAGATTTAAGCAGTTCCCTTGACAGATGAATCACCATTAGTCCCAACAGCTTCCCTCAGGTGCTGCCCCTCCCCAGATCCCCATGCCAAGGGATGCAGCTACCCTCTCCTAATCACTGGCTACTGATATGCTCACTTGCACCTTCCTTCCTTGAAGAGCTGGTGGTCAGTGGTTCAGTCAGCCAAGTGTAATCAGAAGGCCAGGAAAGGCAAAGGCTGCTGCACCTCCAAATCAGCCCATGCGCAAGATTCAATTAGCCAGGGCTATAGCAGCAGGCAATCACGGAACCAGGTTGCATCAGCTCTGACCTCAACAATCCTCGCTCAGCCCACATCACTTCCAGTCCACTTCCCTCCAATGAGACCTTGGGTGGCCTGCTGATTGGGAAGGCTGGAGGCCGTATGTGACGTAGTGGGAATAGTGTTCACTGCTTGCTTTGTTATGCTGTATGAGATTCCTACTGTCTTGTGCTGCTCTGCAGTGACTGTGTGAGAGTGGGGGAGGGGGGGGAATCCAGTGGGGGATGGGATCTTTGTGGGAGAACTCCTGAAGGAAGGCACGTAGGGAATGGCCCAGGCCAGCCTGTCACCTGACCCTAGCAGGAGAGATGCAACCAGCAAAAGTCAGATAACACCAGGGATGGGCAAGAGGCTGGCAATGGGCTGGTTCCGGCTGCCAAGCCACTGGATCTGGCCTACAGCTGCCTTGCCAGAACTGTAAGGCAGGGATCAGGTGGAGCTTTAAAAAGCCAGCTGTTCGCAGTTCCTAACTGCTGAAGAGGGAGACATCTCATGCTGTTCCCACCCCCAGCAAAATCTCTTAGCTCCCAGTGGCCAATCTCTTAGTTTCCAGCCAACAGGAGCTGAGAATTTTTGCTGGGAGCAGGGGCAGTGTAGGAAGCCTTCTCCCTCCCTCCCTCCTTGACCCCTCCCCTTCCGCTCATGCCCAGAGAGGAGCCACATGGAGCAGCAAACAGCCTGAAGCAGTCAGTCTGCTTCAAGTTTCTGCTGGCAAGCGCCTCCCAGCAACAACCTGCCTCTGGCACCCTAATTCCTCCCTTCCCCAACCCTCTGCCCCCTCCTGTATCCATACCCCCTCCCAGATCTGGCACCCCAATCTCTTGTCCCAGATCACAATCCCCTCCTTCCTTCAGTCACGCCCCAAAATCCTGCATCCCAGTTCCCTGCCCAAGGTCACAGTTGACTCCTTCACCCAAACTCCCTCCCAGACTCCGTTCTCTCTCCTACAGCTCAATCCCTTTTCCTAAGCTCCCTTCCACACCCAACCTCCATCCCAGTCCCTGGAATTCCTCCATTAATATCCTGAAAGAGTGCAGCCTTCGATCACCTTCCAAAATCTTGGAGTGCCCCCCCACTCCCAGTCAAAAATTATTGCCCACCCTGGATAACACCTTGGGCCCTCCTCGAAGTGAGACAAAGGAGTGGGCAGGGCTGCTTTGACAGCTGGGACCAGTTGCTGAGTGTGTGAGGGAGTTTTTTGGCTGGCTTAGGGAGGAGGAAATCTAGCTGGCTTGGGGGGTTGTTGAGCTGTGCCAGGAGAGAGGAATGAAGATCAGAGGGTTCAGCAAAGCCCAGCTAATGGCCCAGCTGGGAGAGAATGATTCCCCCAAGGAGCTGGATCCTGTCCCAGCTGGGAGTAGCCAGACAGCTCCAGAGTATGTGCACCAAGCTGCTGAAATGGAGGCTGCTCCTGCAGGACTGTGACATGGAGATGGCCTGTATTAAGGACAGTGCCAAGCCCTGGTTCATTGATCTGGTGTGGAGAGAGGGGCCTGAGTGATCCTGCTCAGTTCAGTCTCGTAGTGGGGACTGCATTCACTGTTTCCTTTGTTATGCTGCATGTGATTCCTACTGTCCTGTGCTGCTCTGCAGTGACTCTGGGTGGTGCCCAGCTGGGAATGGGATATTTGGGGGAGACCTCCTGACAGAAGGCACTAGGGAATGGCCCAGGCTAGCCTATCATCTGACCCTAAGGGGGAGATGCAACCAGTGATAGTCAGATAAAACCTTGCTGCTTCTCCCTCCCTCCCCCCGAAGCTGGACAAAGGATGGGGCAGGGCTGGACCAGTTGCTGAGTGTGTTTTTCAGCTGGCTTAGGTTTCTCAACCAGTGGTACAAGTACCCTGACGAGTACTTGACAGAAGTCTGGGGGGTACATCAACACAACTAAAATGTGGAGAAAACTGAATTTTTGTTTTAAGTTTTACAGCACTTAAATTTTGGATGTAAAAAGTACAAAAATAATAATCACCCACCTGGCTACAATTAAGTTGTTTAAACAAATGTGTTGCAATGATAGAAAAAAATTTGTGTCTGAAAACTGTAGGTACCAAGGGTACTTTATAATAAAATAAAATTTTTTAAAAAAATAAAAAGGGTTGAGAAACACTCGTCTAGCTGACTTGGGAGGCTGGGTAGGGGCCCGGGGCCCGGGGCCCAGAGCCCTGGCTCTAGGCCTCCTGACCTCCAAGATAAATTGTACTGAATGCTCATGGTTCCTGTAACAACGAATCTGTGCTACACTGTGTCCTTGTCAATGAATAAACCTTCTGTTCTACTTGCTGGCTGAGAGTCATGCCTGGCTGAGGATGGGGGTGCAGGGCCTGGTGACTCTCCCACACTCTGACACCATGTGCTAGCTGTGGTGCAGGAGTCCTGCCAGCATTGACTAGGGAGCAATTGAGAATTTGGGAGCTTAGCACTGCTCGCCTGCAGACCTAGCAGGGGATCTGGACATGCCCCACAGTCCTGCAGAGCCATTAGTGAGCAAAGGGATTCGTACAGCCCCTACCTCTGCAGCGTCTGAGCATCTCAAAACTTTTAGGCTACATCTACACTGGCAGTTTCTTGCGCAAGAACAGCTGTCCTTGCGCAAAAACTTGCTTGCTGTCTACACTGCACGAGCATTCTTCCGCTAGTAAGTTTACAGTATAGCGTTGTAAAACAGGGCTTCTTGCACAATAGTTATTCCTCTCCCCACGAGGATTAGGCCCTCTTGCGCAAGAGCTCTTCCACAAAAGGACAGTGTAGACAGGCAACATGAATTTCTTGCGCAAAAAGCCCCTATGGTTAAAATGGCAGAGCTTTCTTGCGCAAGAGAACATCTACACTGCCATGGATGCTCTTGCGCAAAAGCACATGGCAGTGTAGACACTCTCTTGTGGAAGATTTTTTGCACAAGAACTCTTCCGCAAGAGTTCTTGCGCAAGAAGCTGCCAGTGTAGATGAAGCCTTAGAGTGTCTCTACTGGGAGGCCGGCAGGGCTGCTGTCCCTATGACAGGTAGAAATCTGAAGCATGGAGAGATTGACTTGCCAAAGATCATACAGAAAATCCAGCTAATTCCCTTCTGCTCATCTTGCCTGGCACTGCATTTGTGTGTGGGAGTGGGATGGGGAAGGAGGGGCAGCCAAGCACCTTTTTGCCTGGCTGCAGTCGTAGGTTTCACTATCTAGTGCAATGGCATCAGGGAGAGTTTGACCTACTCAGCCAGAGGGGAGGCAGGCACAGCTCATGGCTACACCTCCCATTGGCATCTGCTTGGGAGCATCCCACTGCAATCTCAAACACAGGTGATCATCTCTTACTACTTTGGGATGGGCGATGTCCGTCTGCGTGAGCACATCTCTTTGCTCTGCCGGTCCCAGATGAGGAACTGGCCCCTGGCTCTGCTGCCAATCCCGTAGCTGGCATGAGAGGGCTTCAATGATGATAAGTGTGCTCTCCAGCCGCCCCTCCAGTTCTGCTCGGGACAGGACACTCAGGTGCTCCCGTGAACAGCTAGTGAAAGAAGATACTTGTGAGGGGCTTCAGGAGCACAGAGTCCACAAACTAGAGAAATAGCTCACAACTTAGGAACACTGACTAACCCCCAGTACCTGAGCATGTAAGGATCAGGTCTTGCCCTGCAACCATATGTAGAAGCCCAACGTCATATCCCCACATTCCATCTAGATTACATTAAAACTTATCAGGTTGTTAAAAAGAGGTAACCCTGTGCTAATAGCACCCACCATTAGCAAATACAGAAAAAGGTTGAAAGATGGTTAGAGAAAACTGAGTTTGAAAGTAATTAATCTAGCAAGAAACAACTTATCAATAGTTGTGGTTTGAAGTCCTCGTTTCCGTATTGTCTTTACGATCTGTCTCATTCTTTGTTTCTGTCTGTTACATAATAATTTTGCTAAGTGTAAAGTAAATTATAAATTGATTGGTTAGAGAATTTTGTTATAGTTAGCATTGTAAAAATTTAGTAAAATGATTGGCTAAGCACTAAGGTATAACTAAGCAGGACTCAAGTTTAACTGTATAAACTGGGGTCTAAGAAGGAGACCAGCAGGAAAAAGGAAAGGGAAAAAGGGGAAGAAGGAAAGGAAAAAAGGAACATTAAAAAGCAGGAAAAACATGAATAAGTGTTATGCTTATAAGCACACAGGATCTTGATGTATTTTGGTAGGATCCCTACTGACCTGGTGTCAGGTAACCCTTCCAATTGGGTCAGGACTTGGTGGAGAGGGCAGGCCTGGGTTCCCTTATCTTGGCCACCACCCCCACCAGGATGGTGACCATGTTTATCAGTAGAGCTGACTCTGTCCACTGGGCCACCCCGTCTCGAGATGCAGGGCAGCCCTTCAAACTCAGTTGTGGTGCACCTCTTCACCCCACTCTAAGGAGTAATGGAATGTACCAGCCCCACAACACAGGGAGCATATGAAGGCTAATTTAGCTACAACTAATCAGGAAAGCGATCTTGGAGTCATCGTGGATAGTTCTCTGAAGACATCCACACAGTGTGCAGCAGCAGTCAAAAAAGCAAACAGGATATTCGGAATCATTAAAAAAGCGATAGAGAATAAGACAGAGAATATCTTATTGCTCTTATATAAATCCATCGTACACCCACATCTGGAATACTGCGTACAGATGTGGTCTCATCTCAAAAAAGATATACTGGCATTAGAAAAGGTTCACAGAAACGCAAGTAAAATGATTAGGGGTTTGGAACGGGTCCCATATGAGGAGAGGTTAACGAGACTAGGACTCTTCAGCTCAGGAAAGAGGAGACACGAAAGGAGGATAGGATAGAGGTATATAAAATCACGAGTGGTGTGAAGAAAGTGAATAAGGAAAAGTTATGTATTTGTTCCCATAATATAAGAACTAAGGGTCACCAAATGAAACTAATGGGCAGCAGGTTTAAAACAAATAAAAGGAAGTTCTTCTTCACACAGCGCACAGTCAATCCGTGGTACTCCTTGCCTGAGGAGGTTGTGACGGCTAGGACTCTAAGGCTGTGTCTACATTGGCATCCCTTTCCGGAAAAGGGATGCTAATGAGACACTTTGGAATTGCAAATCCGCGGGGGATTTAAATATCACCTGCGGCATTTGCATTTACATGGCTGCCGCTTTTTTCCGGCTCGGGGTTTTTGCGATTTTCCGGAAAATAAACCCTTTTTCCGGAAGATCCCTTATTCCTACTTAAGGGATCTTCTGGAAAAGGGCTTATTTTCTGGAAAATCGCGTCTACACTGGCGCTTTTCTCCGGCAAAAACCCCGAGCCGGAAAAAAGCGGCAGCCATGTAAATGCAAATGCCGCAGGTGATATTTAAATCCCCCGCGGATTTGCAATTCCAAAGTGTCTCATTAGCATCCCTTTTCCGGAAAGGGATGCCAATGTAGACACAGCCTAGGGGTGTGTCTAGACTACAGGGTTTTGTCGACAAAAGTGGACTTTTGTCGACAAAACTATACCTGCGTCCACACTGCCTTTGAGTTATGTCG